TAAAATTATGCCATGATTTTGATCAACATTATTTGTCCTCATGATTTAAATGATAATGTGAGTTTTTGTTTGTTTGTTTGTTTGTTTTGGCAGCTGGCTGGTATGGGGATCTAAATTCTTAACTTTGGTGTTATAACACTGAGCTAGCTAGCCAGCCCTGTGAGTTCTGTAAGATCTAGAAATTGTGCTAATATTCATGATAGTGTAACCTTTTTTTTTTTTTTAATTATTCAGGAAATGAGAAATTCCTAGTGTACAGCTATATTTGGACTATATGGACTGATGGGGGAATATCTCTTAAGTAAGATCTAGAAATTGTGCTAATATTCATGATAGTGTAACCTTTTTTTTTTTTTAAATTATTCAGGAAACGAGAAATTCCTAGTGTACAGCTATATTTGGACTATATGGACTGATGGGGGAATATCTCTTAATATAATATCCATTGTTTTGGTCCTTTCTTAAGAGGCTGGATTTATTTAAGAGCCATAGAAAGTATGTCCAAATATAGTTCACAGGAGCTTTACTTAGGCAGTATTATAAGGGCCTACATAAGCCTCAGCTAGCCTGATGGCATAAATGACCCGTGGGGTGCAGCATGGGTGATGAGGCTGCTGGAAGCTGTGAAGTCATGCATCTCCATCATGCTGTAGAAAGTACTATCTTTGTACTTTCCTGTGCTGCTTAGGTCTTTTCAGCAGCCTCATCCTCAACAGCCGTGGCTGATGGTTGGGTGGTATGTGCAGAGCTGTGGACCTTCTTCTTTAAACTGTATATCTAGCTTCTGAGTCTAGATGAAAGGCAGTATGTTTCAGAGAACATCTGATGCCAGTTTTTTCCACAGCAGGGACTATGGTAGCAAACTGGCAGCATTCCCTTTCTAATCACAGGGCAGGGATCAGGGTTGGAAATAAAACACAATTAGAGTGTTGGACAAATTTTGGAGGGTCCTATGCATTTCTCCTGGTTCAGGCTGGGAATAGACCAGCCTTCAAGTAGCAGAAGTGGAAGACGAGCTTAGCTGTGAGTGACGTGACTCCCAGGAAATTCAAACTAGGGAAGAGTAGTTAGTGTTTATAAAATATAGTATCATTTAAGAGGGTATTTTCTCATGCACTGACTCACTGATGAATCAGCATTTGTATTTTATAGAAGAATGTAAATCCAAAGAAATAATTTTTTTAAAAAAAGTATTATAAGGGCCTTTTAAAAGCAACAAAAATATAACCAGTACAACTCCTGGTAATATCATAACCCAATTGGAAAGTACTTATATGATGTAATTGTTGCAGAACAGTCCATCTGGAAAATACTGCCAGTGCTTATGAAGTGTGCTAGGAGCAGATAGGCAAAGAGGTTAAGTCTAATTCCTGCTGTCAGGGACTTTGCACTTTAGTTGGTGAGACAAGACATGATATGTGAAAAAGTAGCTAGTGATTCCAGGTAATAAACTGAAGACATCACGTGAGTGGTCTAGACTGTAAGGGCTACAAGAGTTCAAAGGAGGAAAGAATCATTCTTAGTTCTATGATTAAGAAAGCCCTCTCAGAAGAGATGGTGTTTAAACTGGGCCTTTAATTCAACTGTCATTAAATGTTTTGAATGCACCAGGTATTGTAACTACCAAGATTAATGAGTATAGGAGCAAATAAGGCTGGAGAGATAAGGTAGGTTCAGATTGGGAAGTGTTTTGAATGCCAAACCGAGCAATTCAGGCTTTATTGTATAGATCAGTGCTGTCCAGCAGAACTTTCTGCAGTGATGGAAATGCTCTATTCTGCACTGTCTGATATGGTAGCCACAGGTGGTGCTTGACCACATGAATGGGGCTAGTGTGACTGAGGAATTGACTATACATAGACATGTGGCTAGTAACCACTTTATTGAATAAGCAGTGAGTAATCTCATCATTTTAAAGCTGATAAATGATATACTTAAAAGAGCATTTTAAGACTGGTCTTGTACAAGATGGACTGGAGGAGAAAAGACAAATTAGAGGTAGAGAAAATTGAAGGAAACTTGCAGTCATCTGTGTTTAAGGTGACGATGTTCTGATTCAGGATGGTGTTAGTAGGAATGACAAGAAGGACTGGATTTAAGAAACAGTTCTAAGAATTAACAGGATTTGGTAAGTGATTAAGATTCAGAACCTGAGGGAAGCCTCCTGCTGGTTGATCCTAGCATTAGCTGCCAGGAGGAGAGGTGAGGGCAGATTTCATCACCAAGGCTCTTATAATAGGGAAGGGGGGTCTCCCTCTCACATAGAAAAGAGCTTGAGAAGGCAGTAGAAATCAAACTGAGCCTCTAGTTTTTAGCCTGAGTGAATTGAGAATGTTGGTATTATTAACAGAAATCGAAGGAGCTTCTATTGAGAAAGAAGTATTATTCTTTTACATGTTAAATTTGGAAGGAATGTGGGCAAAGCTGATATTAGCCGTAATGTAAAGCCCAGCGTGTGTTTGAATGCCATTGTAGCTCAGTGAAGAAGCCAGAAAGTGATACAGATCTTAGAGTAGTGTACATAGGAGGTGGTAATTGAACCCGTGGGAATGGGTGGCAGTGGAAGGAAGGAAAAGAGAAAAGTGATGTGAACTGAGCACCAGACTTTTGGCTCTATCCACATCTAAATAAAAACTGGAAGTAAGCTGAATTCCTACCTGTAGGGGAATCATTGAATAAATTATGGTACGTGGAATACCTTACAGCTGCTTCGGGTACCAGTGCAGGTACTTAAAAGTTTGATGCAGATCTATATTGCTGACTTGGAAAAGTGCCCATGATTTTAAATAGTGAATAATATGTAACATATGATTCTGGTGGTGATTGTCATTTTTTGAAAACTTCTTTCTAGTTTGGGGGCAATCTCTTTTCTGTGTGAGAGGGAGACCCCCCCTTCCCTATTATAGGAGCCTTGGTGAGGAAATCTGCCCTCACCTCTCCTCCTGGCAGCTAATGCTAGGAGGATCAGCCAGCAGGAGGCTTGCCTCAGGTTCTGAATCTTAAGTAATTGCTGGCCAAGTGGGCAAGTGAAGGGGCGATGAAGTTAGGTTCTCAGCAGCTGTTTCCCTCAGTAGTGGCAGCAGTTGTTTATTCTACCCAGCCTCACTTAATTCTGCTTGTTTTCTGGGTCTGGTTCTTTTTTTCTTTTTAAATTTTTTTATTGTGGTAAAATACGTATAACATAAAATTTACCATCTTAGCCAGTTTTAAGTGTACAGTACAGTGGTATTGAATACATTCATAATGTTGTGCAGCCATCACCACCATCTGTCCGTAATTTTTTTCATCTTGTAAAACTAAAATTCTAGAGCCGTTAAACAATAAACGCCCCAGTTTCCCTCCTCCCAGCCCTTGGCAACCACCATTCTACTTTCTCTCTCTGAGCCTGGTTCTGTTTTTTTGGCGGTTGGTTGGTATGGGGATCTGAACCCTTGACTGTAGTGTTATCAGCACCACACTCTACCAAGTGAGCTAAGCTTCCAGTCCTGAGACTGGTTCTTGAGACTTCTTTTTTTGCTTAAGTTAGCCAGAATGGTTTCTGTTGCTAGTACCCAAGAACTCTGATTCATACCCCATTTTTTTTGTTTAAAAGAAACAACATGATATATATAAAATCCTATGTTTTTGTAGCTTTCTTTAACAGTTGCAAAGGCTACACACCAAATTGTTAACAATGCTTTTATTAAGGCCTTGAGATTGGTGGAGGGGGAGAGTGGAGGGCTAAATAGGGGTTGGCATGGGGTGTGAGGAAACAGTTTTGCTTTAGACACTCTGGTTTGTTGGAGTTGCATTGCAATGAGCATGTACTTCTTAGGGGACTGGGGGAGGCAGCTGGCCAGTACAGGGATCTGAACTCTTGACTTTGGTGTCATAACACCATACTCTAACCAACTGAGCTAACTGGCCAGCTGTTAGCATGTCCTTCTTTAGTGATTCAAATGCCTGAAGAAAAAAAACTTGTTCAGAATGAAAAACTTGAAAATAATTCTTGCCTAACCTACTTTATATTGTTGCAAAGACCAGGTGTAATAGAGAATGTGAAATGTTTCTCAAAATTATTAAGTGCTATTTGAATATGACAAAGTAGAAATAGTGATTTTTGAGTGTTATTTCAGTAGAGAGGTAAAAGCCATTTTGGAAGACAAAGACGTAAGTGCTGATAAAGTCAGAGACATAAATATCAGTTATTCATTGATTTGGCAGTGAAAGGATGAATAGAAATTAGATGATGGAGGAGACTTTTCTCAACTTTATAACTGGAAAATTCACTAACTTAAAAGTTGAGCCTAGGGCTGGATGGTTAGCTCAGTTAGTGCACAGCCTTACAACACCAAGGTCATGGGTTCAGGTCCCCATGCTGGCCAGCTGCCAAAAAAAAAAAAAAAGTTGCTCAGTTGGTTAGAGCATGGTGTTATACACCAAGGTAAATAGTTCAGATCTCTGTACCAGCCAGCTGCAAAAAAATAAAAGTACCATAAACATCAACATAGTCTCAACCTAGATTCAATAATTAATATTTTGCTACTTTTGTTTTATCTCTCTGCATATCTATATAAAATTGGTATTTTTGTTAAACTATTTGAAAGCAAGCTGTAGTGTCATGGCACTTTATCTCAACTAATTCAACATGTATATTTTAACAATAAGGACATTCTCCTACATAACCATAATACCATGCACTTAAGAAAATTAATAACTCTGTAATATTTTCTAATATCCATTCCATATTCAAATTTCCCTAGTTCTAAACATACTTTTTTTGGTAGATGATTTTATTTCCTCAATTCAGTTAAAGTCTACACATTGTATTTACTTGTTATGGCTTAGTCACCTCTAAATTTACAACATTCCTCCTCTTGGTTTATCGCCCCACAATATTGACCTGTGAAGGGTCCAAGCTAGTTTTCTTATAAAATGTCCTACATTCTGGATTTGTCTGATTATTTTCTTATGGTGTAACTTTCCTTCTTAATCTTTTCAGATAAGCTTTATCAGAAAGGATGGAGTTGGGAAAAGGAAAATTGCTCAGGACTGGACTGAATGCATTGTATCAAGCAATACACCCAGTCCATGGCCTTGCCTGGACTGATGGGAATCAGGTAGTTTTGACTGATTTACAGTTTCACAGTGGAGAGGCCAAGTTTGGGGACTCCAGAGTCATTGGACAATTTGAACATGTCTGTGGGCTGTCCTGGGCCCCATCTGGTACAGCTGACACACCCACTCTGCTTGCTGTCCAACACAAGAAACGTGTCACTGTGTGGCAGCTGTGCCCCAGCACCATGGAGACAAGCAAGCAGCTGATGTCTCAGACCTGTGAGATTAGAGAATCACTCCCTGTCCTTCCCCAGGGCTGTGTGTGGCACCCAAAGAATGCTGTCCTGGCTGTGTTGACTGCACAGGATGTCTCTGTTTTCCGCAATGTTCACTGTGACAGTTCCCGGTTAAAAGCGGACATCAGCGCCCAGGGCCGCATTCACTGTGCATGTTGGACCCAGGATGGCCAGAGGCTGGTGGTGGCAGTAGGCAGCAGCCTGCATTCTTATATTTGGAACAGTGCTCAGAAGACTCTTCACAGGTGCTCCTTCTGCCCAGTGTTTGATTTGGACAGCCACATCTGCTCCATCAGAGCAACTGTAGACTCACAGGTTGCTATAGCCACTGAGCTTCCACTAGATAAGATCTGTGGCTTAAATGCAGCTGAAACCTTTGACATTCCACTTAATGGTGATGTTCCACCAGCTATTGGTGAAGTGCCTTCTGTGGGGAAAGGGGCAATTGCTTCTGAAACAAATTCTGAAATATCAGTTTCTCCCTCCTTTTCTTCATATTCAGATCCTCTGGATCTAACTTGTATACATTTCAATCAGCTTAGGTCTGAGGGTAGTTCTCTTATTTGTTTAAGAAAAAAGGACTACTTGACAGGAACTGGCCAGGATTCTTCACATTTGGTCCTTGTGACTTTTAAGAAAGCGGTTACCATGACCAGAAAAGTCACCATTCCAGGCATTTTGGTTCCTGATCTAATAGCATTTAATCTTAAAGCACAGGTAGTGGCAGTGGCTTCCAATACCTGTAATATAATTTTGATCTATTCTGTCATTCCATCTTCTATGCCAAACGTCCAGCAAATTCAGTTAGATAAAACTGAAAGACCGAAAGGCTTATGCTTCTTGACAGAAAAATTATTATTAATTTTGGTAGGAAAACAAAAGTCCACTGATACGGCATTTCTTCCTTCTTCAAAGTCTGATCAGTATGTCATTCGCTTGATTGTTAAAGAAGTAACATTGGAAGAAAAATCTTCAATAACATCAAATGAAAGCCAGAGTGCCTATTCTACTTTCAGTGCTCTATTAAATAAAACAAACCGGAAAAAGTTAATTGAAAGTCTTTCCCCAGATTTTTGTCACCAAAACAGAGAGCTCTTGTTAACAGCTAATACCAGTAGTCAGAGTGGAAGGCCTGGAAGAACCCTTATCAGTGAAATCAAAAGTCCTCTGTCCAGTGTCTGTGATGGCTCCATAGCCCTAGAGACACTAGATGCTGAGCCTGTTAACTGGTCAGCAACACTGCCCAGACACAGCAGCACACCAGACCACACCAGCACACCAGACCCTCCTCATTTGTCTCAAAGAAAGAATATGCAGGGGGAAAAGGAAACTTATCAGCTATCTAAGGAACTGGAAGTTTTATCTAAGAACCTGATTGAAATGCAGCGATGTCTGTTTGAACTCACAGACTTTCTACATAAAGGGAAGAAATCCTCTCCAGTGTATCCACTCTCTCAGGATCCTCCTTATGTTCACATCATTTACCAGGTAACTTCTCCTTTGAGGAACTGCCACTATACATAAAAGCTCCTGCAGCCAGGGGTTACTGCAGGAAACATGTACCAATAAGGAAAATGGTGCTTTCATTGGACTTCACTGAACTAGACAAGGCAAGTTCAAGCAAGTTGGTATACCTTTGGTTATGTTGGCTGCTAGCCTGCCAACCAGATGGGCATACATACCAGTATATACCATAATTTTATCAGTGCAAGGTGTGAAAAAGTGAATGACTGCACACATTCTAGCAACTTATATTTAGGAAAAAATATTTTTTTTCATTACTTATTTTGTGAAAACCTTTTCCTTATGTAATAGAGATACTCTTCCAGTTTTAAAAAAGGTTATGTTCATTTAAAGTGTTTTAATGCATCTCTTCATGCATATGCAAGCATATAAAATATTATATAAATGGGGCTGACCGATTGGCTCATTTGGTTAGAGCATGGTGTTATAACACCAAGGTAAGAGGGTTCAGATCCCCGTACTGGCCAGCCACCAAAAAAATAAATAAATAAAATGTTTTAATGCATCTCTATGCAAACAATAATATTACATAAATGGGATCATATCATGTTTTTATCATGAACACTTTCCTTACACATTGAATGTGGCCCTGTTCTATCCTTTCCATAACCCACTTTTACCAGCAGCTTAACATGGATCCTTCCATATTTTTCTCCATACTCAAATAATCTCACACAGATCCTTGTATACAAGGTTACTTTTAAAAAATTTCTTGAAAAATAAAATTAAAAGATAATGTGAATCTTTCCATGAACTTTTTGTTTTTTTTTTTTTTTTTTTTTTTTTTTTTTTTTTTTT